CAGAAAGTGGTTTTCATCCTGTCCCTGGGTCCCTGTGTGAACTCTGGCATCTGTTTGTGGAACAGCAGCTAGGGTTGAGGATGAAGCCAATGTGGCAGTAAAACAGTGCTTTCTCAATGTGGTGCTAATTGGCTCCACAGGGACCATTTCACCCAAATGAGTTCATCAACTCAGGCAACATATGGTCAACTATCAAAATTCTGAAGGTTGATTAAATGGTTTACTAATATTTTGTTTTGCTTATTATTTATATTTCAACTCTTTTAGGGAAGACGGAGGGGTAATATCAGCTTCATCGATTAGCTCTGGCTCTAAATGTCAAATGGAGAAAAAGACGAAATACATTGCTATAGTACATTTTTTCGTTACCTTGGAATTAGCTGCATTTTAAAACATTATAAAGCTTAAGAATTCATACACAGACATATGAAAAAGTAATTCCTGATAAAATGCAGAACAATTATTTCTTCTAGAACTTCTCTATGTGACATGTGTCTGTTCTAGTCAATCAAAATGTAATTTCCCTATAATTATGCACAGAGCAAAAAGAACTTAGGAAATATTTAATATGCAGAGGCTGATCACGATGACTGACAACTACGGCAGGAAATTCACATCTTATTCTCCTGCAGAATGCAAATTCGAGACTGAGCTCAGTAAAAGAACTCTGACTCACTTAAAAAATAACAATTTACTCTCCATTAATGAAAGAGCCTATCATATAGCACAGGAAAATTATTTCAGTTTGCCTCAAATTAGACATATTTCAGAAGAAAAATGGCCTACTGAGTCGAGCATTAAAATATTCATTAAAAGAATATCTTCAAAGAGATTAATAATTATAAATGCTGTGCTCGACGTTATGAATATACAGTACTCCAAGGAAAAATGTTCTGAGGCCTGGGAGGTGCAAGATTTTCAAGATAAATAATGACTTCAGGAAATTCAAATGAGATAGTAGATACAAAGCCAAGATCACTCTTTTCGCAAGTTAGTAATTAGTGCTTCCCCTTCCTCCTTCAAGTTTTCCCATTTCAGGAAAAGGTACCACCTTCACAGTCATTTCAGCTAGACACTGGGAGTCATCCTAGACTCTTTCCCGATTCACTCAATCACCAAGTACCAACTTCTCACCCTGAATATTTTACAAGACCATCCCTTTTCCCCACTTCCCCAGTTAGGCCCATTTCTTTTCCCTGGATCATGGCATGGCTTCCTCCCTGAGCTCCATTCCTTTGTTCCTGCCCTGTCCCGCTCCTGCCTTTAACTCGCCCCTCCACACTGCTACCACGCTGACCTCAGACACATCTGACTGTTCCATTCTCTGCTTAAAATGCTTCAACTGGGCCTGTCCACTGCCTACAGCAGGTGTCCAATGCCACAGGGTGGCACTTAAGAACGGGCCCTCATGACACCGCACGCATATCTCAGCTCCCATCCCTGGATGTCCCCCACTCTGCACTTTTCTTCAACTGACAATTTCCTACTCATTTTCTGAGGCTCAGCTCAGGTGGCCTCTCCAGCTTCGTGAATCCTCAGGTGAGGCTAAGAGACCCACATCCTCTCCTAGTGCCCTGACCATATTACAGCATTTATCATGTTTTACCAAATTGCCTGGTACGTGTATTTGAATCTTTTATCAAATTATAAGTTGCAAGAGAACAAGAACCAAGTCTAAGTATTTTGTGGCCTGCAACACTTTATACAGGCCTTGGAACATAGTCGGTAGTCAAGGAATTCAACGGAAAGGAGCTGCTGTATGATAAGCAGATTACATAAGTTGAATATGCAATTCAATTTAAATGCATTTGGGTTATTGTAAAAAATGTATATCATAAAAATCTAGAAGGCTGCTTAAAATATGAGCTTAACCTAAAACCTTCAATCTGCCATGTTTGGGGATAAATTTTTTATTCTAGGTGTTAACTTGTTGAGAAAAATAAATGTTTACTTATCCATACTCTGCATCATCCCTAGGAGGATTTGAGTAGGGAAATATATCAATATGGTGTGAGCTCAAATCCAAAAAAGGATCTTTTGGAAACAACCATGTAAATAAGCTTGCTTCTTCCCTATAAAACAGTCAATGATGATAATTCACGAACTTGGTAATTTCATGAACTGGCTTTTAAAATATATATATTGAAGATTAACAGAGCAGTAAAAAAGTCTAAAAAAATTCCTGTTAATAATCACTTTAAAGATGCTCTTTGCCAGAATATACCAGCAAAAGTTTTTTTAAATAATTTTAAATGTGACTGCACTTTTCAGAATGCTTTAAAAGAGCTAATGTTGAAATGACAAGGAAAATCCATCCAATAGGCAGCATCTTGGGAAAGTATAACTGGCAGTTATTTCATTCACGCCCGTTTATCACTTAGTGTATGGACACCAGAATATCACTGTTGAGTCCCTGCTGAAGCATTACGATTCTGGTTCGATTGAATGGGGAAGTATGCAAACAAAATAACATATGGTAGTACCAAAATACTGAACTAGACATTGTCACATTTGGTTCTCGTGGCCAGCAGCATCGACATGGCCTGGGAGCTCATGAAAAATGCAGACTCTCAGGCCCGCCATTGAACAAGAATCTGCACTTTCACAAGACCCTCTGACGACAGGCACGTTAAAGCTTGAGAAGCACTGTTTCTGGTGACCCCGTGAAATTCTCCCATGTAAAGTTCTAGGTGAAAAACAGAGAATCCCCCTGGTTGAAGCCTAACTCTAAGACTTAAACTAAAGCTTAATTTTATAGCTGTCTTCTGTGTCTATTTGGAGCAAAAGAGTCAAATACTAAATTAGTTTAATTCCAATACCAAAGTTATCATCTTATACACACACACACACATATATAAAATTGTATGTGGACTCATAGAGGTGGGTGATCATTAGAGATCACACAGTTTGGTGACCTTTATTTTCACAGAATCATTATCATTCGAGATATGGGATGATTTAGAAGCCCATAAAAATTTTACAAATCCCTTCAGTCACTTATTCCACTATGCAATACTACAAGGAAATTTTTCCATTCATAAACAAAATTGCCAAATTTTCTATCAATTCCATTTCTTATTCTTCCATTATTACAGAGAACAAGCAGCAACCCCATTCTTTAGAGAATCACCCAGTTTTGCAAACTCAGTGATTATTCCGGAGGACCTGGATCAAGGCGGACAAGAGGCTCTTGCCTTAGAGAACACATAGGATCTGCAGGCCAGCTTCAATACCAACCCAGGTACTGACAACCTTTGTTTCTTCCACATTGACCACCATTCCTGGTACAGGGATGCTACTGGTAAATGGGGGTTGAATGAACTGAGTGAATAAACTCAGAAGGGCCACTCTAAACAGGCTTAATTCATGCTATGAGAGTATTCAAAGGGTTGGTGTAACTTGTAGCAAGACTTGAGTTTGAGATCACTTAAAGACCATCATTTTATTACAAGTAACAAACATATCCCAAAATGTAATTTATTATTAAATATGTACACCTAGATAAATACAAAACAATAACTCAAAACATTCTTGTCTTTGTCCCATGTTTTCTTTTTGAGAGCCTATTCTGTGTAGAGAGCCTTGAGTGGCATACGCTACCTAAAGAGTGACATAAGGATGTAAAAGATAAAGTTCCCGCCCTCAAGAAAATGGGCGGATAAAGTGAGTGATGGATCTTTGGTATGGTCAGCTCAGGCCTGTCAGAGCCTATAATCTGGACTCACAGATGGAGAGATAAACTCATAATGTGTGGTCCTAAAACGAGATATTCAAAGTCATAAAATGTAATCCTTGTTCCTGGAGGACATGATGTAAACATAAATGGCATTAGAAACAAAGGAGCTTTTTATAGTATTTCAGGGTGCAATATGACCCAGTGTAGAAGACTCAGTAAGATGCAGTACTCTCCTCTTTATAAAAACGGACTTTTTGGGCCTTGCCCAGTGGCCGAGCAGTTAACGTTCCGTGTGCTCTGCTTCGGAGGCCTGCGGCCTGGGTTCGCAGGTTCAGATCCTGGGTTAGGACATACCCCACTCACCAGCCATGCTGTGGCAGTGACTCACGTACAAAATAGAGGAAGATGGGCATGAATGTTAGCTCAGGGCCAATCTTCCTCACCAAATAAATAAATAAGCTTTCCATGTACATGTCTGAGGCCATCCTCTCCTCTTAAAAAAAAAAACGGCCTTTTTAACAAGACCTCATCTTAAGAAGAGTGGGTCTTGATTTATGCTTTCTTCTCTAGGGCATCAATCTGAAAACTGTAAGATATTGAGTTTGACCAAAAAAAAGTTGATGTAAGTTACAAAAGTTAACTTGGTTTTCATATTTGGAACATGGCAGTAGGGGTTCTTTTCCAAGTGACCATAGTGCAACGAATAAGCATAATTTGCGGTGAAGGAAACAGAACATTTAGGGCAGAGTGCAGGGCAAAATCTGAACAGCATGCTCACTCATACTGCAAGAGGGTACTCTAGAAATAGACCCAAAACCAACTATAAATTTCAAAATCCTTACCAAGAACAACAAAATTCCCCCATCTTTAAAGCCAAGTAAAATGTTACTTTAAAAATATGTATAATATAAAAATTATATCTTAAAATATAATTACTATTACTGGCTGTTGAGAGAGGCAGTAACACCATGGGCCCTGAGTATCCCTGCATGTTCCTGCTGGGTGCACAGAGAACACAAGATCCCAACCTCTCCTCACCTGTGCCATCTCTCAGGGCTATGTTTGTAGCAAGCAACCTTGGGGGATGAGACAACGTTCTCCCCAGAAACAGCAGGCCTGGTGACTCCTGTCTAACAGTAGTGGACCTCCCGAGCTCAGTATTCCCCTCCTATGACACAACCTGCTGTGTGTGCAGGCATCCACGTGAAGCCTTTACATTGCCCCGAGTGACATTAGCTTGTAAAGAGAGTAAAACCCAAGACCTTGCACAGTTCCTCACAGTGACACTGAAAAAACCCATTTCTATTGTTGAGATTTATCTTACCGGATCCAAGTTCTTAAACAGCAGGATGTCTTTGCAAGCCTCTTGTAATCGATTTCTTTGATCATCAGTTTTAGGATGTATAATCTAAAAGGACATCAAATTAAAAAATAAACAAACAAATAATTAGTCTACTCACCTTACTCATAAGGGATAAAATTTCCTAGCAAGATGTTAGAAGGAAGAACTGTTAGTGCTGAGGTTCACTTCAGGTGACCAGATATTAACTATCAGCCCACCAAGTAGAAGAAAGAAATACAGTTGATCTCAGGGGGGTGATGCCCATTCATCAATACAGCACCTGAATGCTTCCAAGAGTGCTTCCCCCCAGACTGGCAAGTTCATTTTGCAAAGGTCCGTGATTGGCTGATCATTGACGACTCAAGCTCCCAGCCAGTGGGAACATACAAAAGGACAACAGATTACAGCAGCTGTGTTGGAAATGTAGAGACTGCCTCTATTCTTAATATTCCTTCAATATTCCTTGATATGGTTGGATACTCTCTAATACTGAGTTTAATACCCTTTCAGGATGTAGCTCGTCCCTCTGAAACTTAATAAAGTCTCCAGAAGCGAGTAAATTCTTACATACATCTTGCATTAGAGATTAAGTACATTTTTGTGCACAATCTATGTAACTACCCCCATAGGGAGGGATTTTTCGAGGGGAGGCAGCAACCATGCACTGCCACTCAAGAGAGTGTGCATTTGAGGAAAATGAATCCAGTCCTGGTGCATTCATTTTAGAATGGACTCAAAGAAAACCAGGTATTATATATTCCTACTAAATCTTTATTCCAGGAGGGTGAAGACTGACAGAATACCCTCTGTAAGTGCGGCCTGCCAACTCCCCAGAGTCCCTTTTCACCACCAGAAGGCTCAACGGGCAGAGACCAAAAGGCCTATTCTTTGGTGAACACAGGTCGTTTGTAATATAAAGTCAGAGTTAGATATAGAGTTAGAGAGGCAAGAGAGAGTCCTAAAAGCAGCAGGCATCGAGTCAGTCTCCTGGAGACCTACACACCACCTTTTCCTGTTCTAATGGTCACTCAGAGTGACCAGCAGGTGATAAGCAGGAGCCTCACCTCTTCAGTCAGCTGGCCCCACCATCAGAGCAACCAGAATGGGCAGCAGTGAGTTTTGTGCTCATGAATATATCAAAATTCACAATGGGAAATTAAAATGAGCATTTCAAACCCAGCTCGGATGGCTAAAAATTAATGAAAATCATAGGCTCAAGAAGAATCAAGAAGGGCTGGCCTGGTGGCTTAGTGGTTAAGCGCGTGCGCTCCGCTACTGGCGGCCCGGGTTCAGATCCTGGGCGCGCACCGATGCACCACATCTCTGGCCATGCTGAGGCCGTGTCCCACATACAGCAACTAGAAGGATGTGCAACTATGACATACAACTATCTACTGGGGCTTTGGGGAAGAAAGAAGGAGGAGGATTGGCAATAGATGTTAGCTCAGAGCCGGTCTTCCTCAGCAAAAAGAGGAGGATTAGCACGGATGTTAGCTCAGGGCTGATCTTCCTCACAAAAAAAAAAAAAGAAGAAGAAGAAGAATCAAGAAAATTTACAGTATCTGTGTACTATTTATGTACTACACAAAAGACTACCAGCCAGTGAGAGAGGAAGTCACTGCATGTTTTCCCATATGGGCAAGCTATAGTCAAACTTTTGCTTACTACATAATCAATACTCATCTCAAAGTAGATTCTAAGATGACAGATGGACACAGAAAACGTAGATCCTGATACCTACTAACTCACTGCTATACAAGAAACTTTTAAAATTTGGGTATTAACTAAATCATGCCAACCAAAATTCACTTCTTCCTACTTCAAATAAGGAAGGCTAACACAATAAAACAAAACAAAAAGTTATTTCTCACTTCACAAAATCCATCTAGAACTTTACACTGAAGCAACCATGAACATTTGCCTGCTGAGAAGCTCTATCCTCAGAGAGAAAAGGTTGGGGATACCACGTCACCATCGTTGAAATGACTTTCTAGGCCCAAGATGGAGCCGTTCCTGCCCAGGGTGCCACGTCAGCAAACTGAAACTTAGGTTAACTCTCCTGTCCCTGTAAATGCTCCTCTTGACCACAAATGCAGTCTATCCAGCCAGCCCCCAAATGCCAAGCCAGCTCTGGGCTGTGTACTTATTTCCTTGTTCCTTATTTATTTTCTGTTTTTCTTCTCCTTGTTCCTTATACTTTTTTTTTTATTATTTACTTATTGAGGTAACATTGGTTTATAACATTACATAAATTTCAGATGTACATCATTGTATTTCGACTTCTGAGTAGACTACATCATGTTCACCACCCAAAGACTAATTACCATCCCCCCACCGTACACACATGTGCCCTGTCACCCTTTCAGCCGTCCTTCTTCTCCTCTTCCCCTCTGGTAACAACCAATCTAATTTCTGTATCTATGTGTTTGTTTGCTATTGTGTTTTTTTTTTTTAAAGATTTTATTTATTTATTTATTTTCCCCCCAAAGCCCCAGTAGATAGTTGTATGTCATAGTTGCACATCCTTCTAGTTGCTGTATGTGGGACGTGGCCTCAGCATGGCCGGAGAAGCGGTGTGTCGGTGTGCGCCCGGGATCCGAACCCGGGCCGCCGGCAGCGGAGCATGCGCACTTAACTGCTAAGCCACAGGGCCGGCCCTGTTTGCTATTGTTGTTGTTTTTATCTTCTACTCATGAATGAGATCATACAGTATTTGACTTTTTCCGTCTGACTTATTTCCCTTAGCATAATACCCTCAAGGTCCATCCATGTTGTTGCATATGGCAAGATTTCATTTTATTTTATAGCTAAGTAGTATTCCATCGTGTATATATACCACATATTCTTAATCCATTCATCTCTTGATGGGCGCATAGGTTGTTTCTAAGTCTTCGCTATTGTGAACAATGCTGCAATGAACATAGGGGTGCACAGATCTTTATGACTTCGTCTTTTTATGTTCTTTGGATAAATACTCAACAGTGGAATAGCTGGAACACATGGTAGTTCTATTCTTAATTTTGTGAGGAATCTCCATACTGTTCTCCATAGTATCTGTAGCAGTTTGCATTCCCACCAGCAGTGTATGAGAGTTCCCTTTTCTCCACATCCCCTCCAACACTTGTTATTTCTTGTCTTGTTAATTATAGCCATTCTGACAGGCTTTAGGTGATATCTCATTGTAGTTTTGATTTGTATTTCCCTATTAACTAGTGATGTTGAACATCTTTTCATTTGCCTGTTGGCCATCTGCATATTTTCTTTGGAAAAAGATCTGGTCAGATCTTTTGCCCATTTTTTAATTGGGTTGTTTGTTTATTGTTCTTTAGTTATATGAGTTCTTTACATATTTTGGATATTAACTCCTTATCGGATATACGGTTTGCAAATATCTTCTCCCAATTGTTAGGTTGTCTTTTCGTTTTGTTGATGGTTTCCTTTGCTGTGCAGAAGCTTTTTAGTTTGACGTAGTTTGATTTGTTTATTTTTTCTTTTGTTTCTCTTGCCTGGTGAGATAAGGTGTTCAAAAATACGCTGCTAAGATCGATGTCAAAGAATGTACTGCCCATGGTTTTTTCTAGAAGTTTTATGGTTTCAGGTCTTATATTCAAGTCTCTAATCCATTTTGAGTTAATTTTTGCATAGGGTGTGAGATAATGGTCTACTTTCATTCTTTTGCATGTGGCTGTCCAGTTTTCTCAACACCATTTACTGAAGAGACTTTCATTTCTCCATTATATGTTCTTGGCTCCCTTGTCAAAAATTAGCTGTCCATAGATGTGTGGGTTTATTTCTGGGCTCTCAATTCTGTTCCACTGACCTGTGTGCCTGTTTTTGTGCCAGTACCATGATGTTTTGGTTACTATAGCTTTGTAGTATATTTTGAAATCAGGGAGTG